CTTTTTTGAGGCACTAAACTCTTCAGATGTCTACTTCCTATCACCACCACTGTGAACACTTTTGACTCTAGAACATAGCATTTTACATTAACCCATTAAATGGCCTGGGCCCACCAGCAGGCCCAAAGTTTTATTACACACTTCTATAACCTAAGAATAGCTCAGCCAGTTTGGACTGAAGTCCCAATAGTTACTGAATAATAAGACTTTACATGTAATACACCTGAGATTTTGAAAGGTTAAACAACTCTGAATCATTTTATTAACATGTTGCCAATCTAATTATAATGCATCATCACAATACTTCGTGGAATTTTCCCACAATATGATACAAATTACTATCAAAATATTTTCTTTGCATGTGCAAACAAGCTTGACACACAATGAATGAGAAAAACACAGTTCAGTGCAGTATGTGAAATGCTGAATGCAGATCATTGTACTCAGTATTTTTCAATGTGCCATTACTGGGTTTTTTTCTGCTCCAACTTCTCAAACCTCAGAAAAAAAAACTAAATAACGTGATGTGTATTGCATGTAGTGAAAATGCTATTAAGTATCATGATGTCATATTTTTTTCCATATCACTCACTCCTACTTCATGGCGTGTTTAAATGCAACTTTTCCCAGAAGACATGAGGCAATGGTAAGGCGATGGAAGAGGATCATCAGTCAGCCTGAGTTGGCGTTAGTTTTTTAACATCAGATTGTTGTGTCAGGGCCCTAAAGGAGGGCCAGTCACACTGAGGATCTGCTCGCTGAGTTGTTTACCAGAGGAATCTGCTAGTTTGTAAATAAGCAGAAAAGGAAGAAACCACTTGGCTGTAGTTCTGGAAACAAGTCTATAGATTGGATTATGATGCCATTTATAATCCCTCTTTTCCCTGAGAAGATGCTCCCTCCCCACTTCAGATTATACAATGCTTGACATGAGACAATATTGCTGCATCCCTCCAGTCATCTCCATGTGCAGCTCCCACTGGTCTGATGTGGAGAGAGAAAGAGAGATGAACTGTTTCAAAACACTGCCAGCTTCTCTCCCCTGTTATTCACCTTTCTAATAAAACATTTCATTTTTTGCACATTTTGTTCCCATTCCACAAAAACAGTTTCAACAACATGCAATATCTTTTGGGATTTCATTCATAGAGACATGGCTATAGCTGCGCGATCACTTTATAAAATCTTCAATATCTCTGTATCACCAAAATATAAAACCATCAACAAACGTCTCTATTTGTCAAAATGATCATGGCGGCATGCACCCTCTGTCACATTCACAACTGATTCAAAAGTAAGGGAGCCATTTCGCTTCCGAGTTCATGAACGTACATGAAATGGTTGGGAATTAACTTACAAACAGGGTTAGCATTTAAACTTATTAGTCTGAAAGGAATGTTCCAGCATGTTTAGCCTAATCTCTAACTTCCATCTGTTTTATACATGGAGAATAATTTCAACACATTTTCCACAAATGTTTCCTCAACTTACAACACTCAAAGCCCACTTATAATAGAAGTCAATGGGCAGTTGCTGAATTCTGTGGACAAACATGACTACATATCATGAATTTGAAAACTACTACTATAGCATAAAGTTACAGGTCGTAGGATGACCAAACTGTTCATCTGAAGATTTAGACAACTATAGTACAATGGAGAAACACAGCTGAAAAGTAGTTCCGGTTAGTTTTACTTTCCTGAATAATTCTGTTTTCTAGTATATATGACAAAGTCTCAAACTCTCAAACAGTGAATAATGCAGATTTACACACTAAAGTTAAGCTACAGAGATTTTTCAGAATTTCTACATTATTAAATTGCTAAGTTGTAAACAAAGACGTTCAGAGTGGTTCGGACATTTAGTGTGAAATGTTCCATTCTAGAGAAACTAACTGAGTCAGAATTTTTACAGTGGTGGAGATAGGAACCAGATATCTGAAATGCTATTTTACATAAAGTTATTACATGAAATGGTTACGAATATCTGAATATGCTTGATGTCTGAGACATTTGTTAACAATGATTTACAATAGTTTTGAGATAAGGTTTTGGCCTAAAATGTACTTTTTTAATCCGGTCCATGGTGGAGAGGTACACACGTGGCGTTTTAAGGCAAAAAAGTCCCTTATTTGGTCAGATTTATTACTATTTAACCATCATCAATATAAGAAAACTCACAAGACTGTTCATTGGGCATTTTGTATAGTACATAAAATGCCTATATTTGTGTTGTAGCCATCACAACACATGGTTCTTATCACCACCACTATAAAGAATATCCAAGTTGCTAAGTTTCTCCACCATCTTCGCCACAATGAACCATTTCATATAAAACCATTCTGAATAATTTTGGTTACGTTATTCAGTAATTAAAAAAACAGTGGAATTCCCTGATAATTTATAAATACGTTATACTGAAGAATTCTACAGAATCTAACTATTTTCACAATTCACCAACTGCCCAATGGCTTCTATTCTAAGTATATTTCGAGTCGACTGTTTTTTCTTCTCTTGTAAGTGCAGGGAAATTCATCAAAATGTTTTTATGGTAACCGAAGACATGCTACACATGTGGCAGATAGATATTATGTTGAGAAGCTATGGGAGTGTTCCATTAAGACCAATTATCCCATAGCTATTACAGATTATCCAGTCTCTACAATAAAACTACAAGTAAAGTATGTATGGAATGGAATGTAATGGAAGTCTGGCTGTGCTGATAGGTCTGCAGAGTTTAAGTGTTAATAGCCTCACCAAAAGTCGCTCCACAAAGCTGAGGCGGAGAACCTGCTTGCACTATTTTGACATTTCAATTACTCTTATTACCACCTCGTACGAAGTGGCAGTGTGTCCGACTCGTGCTGTGCCATCAGCCAGGAGAGCTGGAGTGCAGTTCAGCTCATTAGAGCAGTATTGTGGCTGAGCAGAAGCTACGCTGAGCGCACAGTCTGCAGCGCCATGACCTGTGTAAAGGGTAAAGGCATCAAGCAAATGACTAAATTACAGTGATACAGATAATTCGCCACATGCGGACAGGGCGAGAGGGAAGATTTTAATTGCAGCTCTCTTAATCACTGAGTCAACGAGCAGAAGAGACGAGCAAAAGCGGAGACACTTTTTATGCACATGCATACTAATTACGCAATCGTCGCACCAAAACATGCAACTTAGAGACCAAAGCGTGTTTTGAGGCTCGGCTCGACAGATGTATTTGCAAAATCATGTGGCCAAGCGTGATAGGGGATGGACCAAAGGGTGCAACACAGAGAAGCCTAAGCAGTTGCCCCTGACACAGATAATGTACAACAGGAGGACACAAAGACAAGCTGTAAGAAGCATGAGGAGATAAAGCGACTACAGCCTCGTTCTTTGGTCCTCATGCTGGGCTACTTCCTCGAGGATCCTACATTGTCATTTCCTTCTGTTTTGCATCTCTCCGTGTTTGACCTTGGTGTAAGAGGTGGTAATTACGGAGGTACGTGTAGGAGGAGACTAAGCCACAATTAATCCATGAAATTCAGGGTATTGTATAACAGGGAGGGAGGCTACTGATACTGTCATCAACATGTTGGATAGAGAGCATATGAGCATGAGATTGTCAAAATATATCAAATATATCCCAAATTTTACATCTTATATTTTTTTATAAGATGTAATTTATTGGTGATTTAGTAAGGCCTGTTATGCCTCAGATTCAAACCAAGGCCAATAAGTCACGTTCAATCAACACAACAAGCGCACATAAAACATAATTAGACTGAAAATGAAAATCTGAGATACCTATGATGATTAAATAATTTTGACACAAAATACTTTAAATCAATTTTGCATTAACAGCCATAATTTACTCATAATATTCATGTCCCATTCTATGCAATATCAATACGATTGAAGCAATCACATTATCCCCAAATACTGTCAAAAGGATATTTCTAGGGCAATGATTTTCTACAGCAGCACTGGAACCGGCCCAAATTCCCCCACCACTCAAGCTATCAAACATGTAGCCCCAAGCGTATGTACATATGAGCCAGCACTGCTGGATGCCTAAAGCCGAGCATCTGGGCACTATACACCAAATGTATGGAGTCAATGTCATCCTCAAGGACACAACTTCATTAAGAAGGGGTGAGAGCGAGTGGATTCCATGCAAAATTCGGGACCTCCATTGTCTATGGAAGCTTTTTCCAGAAAAATAGATGCATTCTAAATATCACATTCAGAGAAAAGGAGTAAATATACATTTTAAAAAAAGTTTACACAGCTCAGTAATAAATTGTTAGAAATGTTATATGTATTTTATCTTCAGCAGGAGGCCTGGGCAGCTCCTGAGTGCCTACATTTCCAGCATAATTTCATGATTTCTGCATCAGTGTCAGATGACATTCATCGCATGGCTGTTTCCACATCCACTGACATCAGATTTGAACATATTTGCCATTCAGCGGAGACGGGTTCACTCTCTTCCTCACAGGCATCATATGTGTGCTTGTCCTCTCTTTAGCAAAGCACCATTTTGAGCCAAAGAAAAATATGAATGATTCTTGAGCAGAGGCCTCGTTTGTCACTGCGGCTTTCAGTGACAGAATAAAATTAATAAATGAATAATAAAATGTAATAATAATAATAATAATAATAATAATAACATGTAAACTGTATACTTGTTCTGAAAGACCAGACTAGAAACACAGACTACTGATTACTTTTTTTTATTAATGGTTTAGTCTGATAACTATCATGTTCTCTTACTCTCTGAAGAGTATTTACATTTCTACAGCACATGGAAAGTATAAATATTCTTCTTCTAAATAAATAACACCTTCATGTAATCTAGAATATGAATATACAGGTGTGGGGCAACTTTGGATATAGAGTGAGTTCTTAAAATAAACAATAACCTATATAAACATAGGTGCCTAGGACATACATGACATTGGCTGGGATCTGAAATGTGCATTAATATGACTGAAGTACACTGTAGTTACTCCGTGTAATTACCTGAAGTCACTGTAGGGGTGAATGATCCAGAAGCCAGCAGACTTCACCCTCTCCTGCTCGCGCTCCACCGCCTTCTCGCTGCCGAACATCCTCAGGGAGAACTTGTTGACCCCCGGCTGAAGCATGGCCCCGAACTGCCTGTGCATGAAGCCCGCTTGGTAAAACCTCTCATCGTCCGCTAAGATCTCGATGCCGTCCAGCTTGACGAAGGCGGGCTGCTGTTGCTGCTCAGCTCCAGCTCCAGCAGCCCCAGCTCCAGCCCCAGCGCCGGAGCCCCCCGCGCCTGCGCCCCCTGGTGCCCCTCCGCTCGGCCCGGGGGGGCTGCTCTCCTCGCTGGGGCTGCTGGCGTCTCCCTCCGTGATTAGCCGCTTCTCCTCGGACGGCGGCTCGGACTCGTGGACGTGGCGGCCGGCCAGAGACGACAGGCTGCCGCGGAACCTCCGGCAGTCCCCGTTGGAGCTCGCCTTGGCCGCACGCCCCACGTCCGTCTCGGCCACGGCGCCGTCCGCGCTCCGGGGCTCCGCGGCGCCGGGCGAGGGCAGCGCCTTCATCCGCAGGCTCTTCCTGCGCGCGTCCTTGTCTCCGTCTTCGCTGTCGCCCATGATCGAAGCTCTGTGGCCGATGTGCTGGGGCAAACTGTAGAGCCTTTTGCGCATGGACGAGTGCAACCTGTCCATCAGGGCATTCAAACACGGTCAGTTTCAATGACACACCAACACCACCACTGTGTGCTTGTTAACTGCTGTGGTCAGTGGCCACACGAATCCCCCAATAGCTAGCGCTCTCTAGCCTCACACTGACACGCATGACACCGTGGCACAGCGGTGCGTTAGATGCACCACCACCATCAGCACCACCTCCAGCATCTGCCTACCTGTCAGCTCTACACAGCCCCTGACCTGCCGCGCAGCTCTGCCGCTGGGCTCCGCTTTACCTCGCCGCTCCTGCTGCTGCTGCTGCTGCAAGGCACCGTGTTGCTCAGCTCCATCAAGACCATGCAAAGTCATAGGCGAAAAAGCTGCTCGGAGAGCCACCTCACCAGCACGGCAGGACCGAAGAGAACGCGCCGAGGTCACGGAGAGTGAGGCATGCCCGAGCCACCTCCACCTCCCCCCTACAAAGAAAAAAAAAGCCCCTAAAAAATCCGGATCGGATGTCAATACCAAACAACGCGGCGCAATCAGCCGTCCGCTGTCCTGAGGCTTCTCCAAGCGTCATGAATATTCATGAGGATGCTGATTTATCGCGTTGCCATAGGAGCGAGGGCGCCAAAAAGGCTCCGCCCACCTGTTTCCAATCACCGGAGAGATTTTCTCCCATTCTTAACAATGGTGGCGTTTCAGCATCACCAAACATTTTACGCACGCATTTTTTAAAGGACGGATTAGGATAGCACCATTAAACCTTTCTGTCAGTGACCTGTCAAAGGTAAATTGGCTGCAAACCTAGACAGAGGTTCAAAATAAAGCTGTCTGTTTTCATGGATGAGAAAGGGGGAAACATTAATGTAATGTATAACAGTGTATTTCAAATATCTCAAAACATAAATTGTGTGAATAAGTATTGAAAAAAAGCAACACAATGCAATCATGTTTTCATCCTCTGACATTTAGTGAGGTCTAATGTAGGTTAATAGCTTACAGATTCCTTTGGTGTTCCTCTGGGTGGGATTTGTTTGGGATGTGTTTTTTATTTATTTATTTTTTTATTTTTTAATGAGACTAGGCGTATTAAAATGCCTAGTTTAATTAAAGCACATATTTTATATGTGGTTTATTTATACTACTACTAATAATAATAATGATAGTAATAATACTTTCATTATTTTGACTTTTGTGCGCGCCAGAGATGTTTCTCCTTCTCTAGCAGCTGGTCGAGAACTGGTGTTTTTACACTTTCCAGAATTTCCGTTTCTATTGAGAAAGAAGTCCAAACCAGAGAGGAGGATTTGTAGAAACATGTCCGGAAAAAGAGCGAAAGCAAAATGTGTCTGGAGGTTAAAACGGTACGGCCGCTTTCTGCCCAAAGCCAAGGAGACGGGAGAGAAGTGCTCGTGGAAGGTAAAGCTAACAACCCGGCTAACGTTGGCTAAAGAAACGAAGACAGTTAACGCTACGTTAGCCAAACTAGCTAGATAACAGTAGCTGGAACATAAAATAGTGTCAGTATTTTAATTTGGTAAACACTTCGTTGATTTGTTTAGCAGAATATAAATAAAACCAAAAAAAGTATAACAACCACTTGATTTTCACGCTATTCTTCCTCAGCAAAACTAGCTAACCTAGCTAGCTTGCTGTAAACATGTTACCATCTCGGTTAGCTGGCTAAAGGTGAGAGTGAGGCAAACACTGTCCCCAAAGTTTAATCTGCAGCTTCAAATTGTGTTGATAAATTAAGAAACTATGACCGGAGTGAGTTTATACCACAGGTTTTTAGGTGTTTCAATCTTGTAGTTTTGCTGCACTTGGCAAAACATGCAGGTTTTCTGGTCAGACTCACTGGGATTCAGATGTAAACGGTGTCTTTGAAATCTCAGTTTAACCTGAAATCCTGGCTGTCATTTCAAATAAACCGCCAGCTAGCCGACCTTCTAGTGTGTCTTTGTCTCATTTCAAGAGAAAATAACAGTAGAACAGTAGAATAATATAATATAGATAATATGTTTATTCTATTGTACAGTTTTCTCATGTGGTAAACTTATTGAGTAAAGTTAATTGGACTTCAAATAATACGTTACCAGAACGTAATTATTAGAGGATAGAGGTTAAATTAACTAAAAATTTAAGGCTGCGTCCAAAATTGCGTACTACCATGCTCAGTAGTATGTCAGAAGTAGTACACCGCTATTAGAATGCCATTCATTAGTATAGTATGTTTAGTATGTATTGGGATTGGGAACCCCTTGGCTAAAGCATTAATGACTGTTAGGATTTAGAATGAATTAATGCCTTAACGTTAGCTCAGGGATTCCCAATCCCAGTCCTACTGACCCCACGCTCTGCACGTTTCTTGTCTTTTCCTTTTTCCACACTCCTGACCCAGCCCACCATGAGTTTGATTAGTTAATGAGCTGAATCAGGTGTGCCAGATAAGGCAAAGCACAGTATGCATAGTTTGGGAGTCATTAGGACTGGGATTAGGAACCCCTGCCTTATGCTGCATTCATGACAGTTGAGAGCTTGGATCTTCCTGATTCCCACAAAGTGTTCATTCAACTTCAGCTGTTTGGGGCTGGAAAAATATGGACACTCATGGCAATCAAGCATTTTATAAAAAGCTCTTTACACTGGAGTTAAAGAGTTGTTTGGTTAGCGCTTTATTTATTTAAAAAGTGGATGTAGGCTATGCAGTTTTACCATTAATTTAGCAGTGAAAATTACATGAAAGTGCATCTTGTACAGAAAGACTTAAGCGTACAGTTATCAAAGTATCCATCTGCATTTAGCGATATCACCCTAATAATTATGAAATTCCAACTTTCCAACTAAAACAAGTTGGGTTCGGATGGATTTTCCCATACTGCTGCCCTTTACCTAACACTAATCCAGCCAATTAAGGACTAATGAAGAAGTCGAGTATATGTGGCAGATTGGAACTACACCCTGCAGGAAGGTAGATCTCCAGAACCAGGGTTTGTGAACACTGCTGTAGCAGGTCTGATACAGTAGCAGTCAACACTTTAATCAGGGCTTCCTATTCTCAGTGCCTGTGACCCCAATGCTTGGCACATTTTTTGTGTTTTCCCTGCTCTGCTCACCTGATGCAGCTAACAAGGAGCTTGTTAAGTAGTTAATGAGTTGCATGAGGTGAGGTAGATGAGACAAAGCACAAAAATAAGCGTAATGTTTGGTCATCACAACTGGAATTGGGAAATCGTGCTTAAGAGTACATGAGCCAGTTTTCCTTTTCTTAAAGGTGTTCGAGTCCAGTGAAACCACAGGCAAGCTGGAGCTGATGGTACTGGAATCTGGTCATCTGCTTGTCTCTCGGGCACAAGAACTGCTGGTAAGCTCTCCAAGGGATGCAGCGTAGGCCACACACGCTCAGTGTTTTATTTTGGATGGTGTTTTATGAGTTTAGAACAGCCTTGTTTTAGTTTTAAAACATGAGAATTTACATTTGACTATGACTATGACACAATTCTACACAATTCACTATACCAGGCTTTTTGTTGATCTGTAGTGCACATGACAGGATACGTGGAACTTATCATAACTGCTTGGCACTATGACCGTTCATTCAGAGAAAGAATAGTGTTGCTCTTCATCCAGAGACTCAATTGCCAAATCCACCTCTTCCTCTTGCTCCTCTGTCTGCCTTGCTTAAGGATTGCCAGGCCAAGTGCTTCTGAGTGCCTCTGATATCTTCCAACAGTAAGCCAGAATCATGGACTCTGAAGCCCAATAGCCTCTGCCTCTTCCTGACTGGGTAGAAAGGAGCTACCAGATTGAAGAGCACTTTGGTTTTGAGACACTGTGCTTAACAAGGCATCTTGACTTTTCAGGTCAAAGCACAGGGAGCTCTGAAAGCCAAGGATCGGGGTTATTGATATATTGGCATCTCTAATCTTTATACATGGCATGGGTTGCTTTCAGTACTGAGAGCAGCATTCAGACTCAGAAGCTTAGCAGATCCTTCTCTGAATTTTTCCCTTTAGCCGGGGTTGAAAAGATGACACGAAATATTTTGGATAGAGAGGTTATCAAGTGTGTCATCCAGATTACGTCTGAGTCTGAAATGCTGAGTAGCAGAAGCTATCAGTGTTGAGGCGATTAATGTTTTAGAGTCTGTCACTTACAAAACAAACCAAAGAGCACTGAGAATGAAGAGTGTGTTTGAGAAGTAATGAAATGCCTAATATCATATGATCTCTACAGAGAATGAAATGTAATATGTTTGGAGATTTAGGGTTAAAAGATTTTAGAGCTAATGGGCCATTTGGGGATTTTGGCATACTAATCTGAACCGTGGCTCTTGGTTGGTTATTTATTTATTTAAACTAATTTCGTTTTCCTGTAAAAACAGCCTGGAGCAAGGTGGCATTATGTATTATTTTATTTTTATTTATTTATTTTTCGAATTAGAAAACAAATAGGAAAAGTTTTTGAAGGAGAAAAAGATTGCACGAAATACTCTTTTATTTGTAGATTTAAAAGAAAAATAATCAAAGAATGCTTTCTGTAATGGCTTTGAGGGCAGCATGTAAAACTTTAGCTGAGCCTTTTTCCACAGCGCTGTTCCGATAGTTGTGCTGTCTGGCAGCGGGCCATTCATGTTTTTGGAAAGCTGATTCTTGGCATCATTCACGTGGTGAAGGGGAGATTACAGCTTGTCCCTGAGCCTCCAGGTCTGGCAAGTGACTTAGACACTGAGTTTCCTATGGAAATAGATCCCCCTGTTGGAATACTGGTGTAATTTCACCTTAGGCTCACAGAGAATCCTCAGGTTTGTGAAATATTTAACCAGATATATGGATGCCCTATATCTGGTAAATTTGGCATGGTACAGTTAGTTGAATAATCAGTTTAGAGTCTCATCTATTTGATATGCACTGTATTGTTAATTATTATATATTTTAAATTATTATTATACATTTTCTGCATAATTCAGTGATTGAGAGATAAATAAAGTCATTCCGAGTGGTTTAGTGTGAAATGGTTAATTGTAAAGAAGATAAATTGCAAAAGAATGGTTTATCATAGACTTGGATATCTTTACAGTGGTGGTAATAGGAACCACAGGTCATGATGTCTACAACACAAATACAGCCATTGCATTTGCTATGCAAAATCACCAGTGAACTTACATGTGTCTTCTGAGTTTTTATATATACTTTTTATACTTTAAT